GGGGCGGCCCCACGCTGCTGAGGATCGATCGCGGCCGCTACGGGCAGGATTCCCCCAAGGTGGAGGTCAAGGGCCTGCTGGTGACTCCCGTCCCCATCAACGGAGGTAACGCTTCCTTCGCAGCCGTCGGTCGCTTGCCGTCGGGTGCCTCCTTTACAGGGTGGTTGGCCTTTGTCTGAGCTTCGCAGACTTTCCTAGAGAGCTCTGACAAAAGAGGAGGAAGAACTTGCTCAGAGGAATATAATAAAAAAAAAAAAAAACAAAATCCATGATCTGAGAGTGCTGGTTTTAATAACAGCTCTGCAAAGCATAATGTGTTTTCCAGCGCGGATCCCAGTAGGCTAGTCATGCTGAGCGATGAAGGTGTTATTTCTAAACTAATTAGAGAGTCGGTAGCGATAGTTAACAGTATTTGGTTGCAGCATTGCCGTGAATCTCAGAACAGCTGCATAGCTATCTCACTGTGATAGATATGCATCTGGATGGCTTCTGCAGCTGCATGAAGTTGTGATTGTTCAGTGTACATTTCTTAAAAATGCCATTTAAGCTGTCCATCAAGACTTGGAAGGACTGAAGTCATCAAGCTGTTACTGTCATGGCCAGTCCAAAATGCGCTTGTTTGCGGTACTGAACAGTGTGTAGTGCTTCCAAATAAGTTTTCTTTTAATTAAGTGGAGCTGTTGTCCATCCATTTGTTTTTTTGACAAATGTTGGGTTTTATAGAGAACACTAATTTAAACAAGTGAGAGCGTTGTCTTGATTTTTGCCTGAAATGAAACCAATTGCTTCAGTCCTAATGATGTGGTTTTAGTAGTATCTTATTTTGAAAACCCTTCTTGACATTATCTAAACTGCCATCTTTAAGAAATGGACCGCTTGATGGATCACAGTGGTCCCAACCTGTCTCCTGGACGGTAAACGTCTGAATAATGCATTAAGTGAAATAATGTAGTCGGTTAAACGAGACTCTAAGTGGTGAATATTAAGAGTTTTTAAAAAGAATTGATAACACAGAACTACTGTATTAAAAGCTTTTGAGAATTTACCAAATCTTAAGATCAGGAGAATACTCTGATGCTTCTTCAGAACAAAACGCATCCTGCTAGGCAGCCTGCTATAAGCTTCTAGTACGTATGAAGCAGACTGCGCATTAGCAGATGCTTGCCAGTTTCATTGAAGCTCGGTTTCATTAGCTTTACAAAGTGTTAACTAGAATATATTAATATAGCATATTTTGGGTGGAAGGGCGAGGAAGCAGAAATTGTTGAGCAAGTCTACTGTAAAATTATTTTCATTTGTACTTCAAATCCTACCTTCACCATGCTCTCAGAGTCAGCTATCATCAAATATGCTCAGTCTTTCCTTCTTCTGCTTCCCGGTATTCCTCGCTTAGACACACACACCCCAACTCCCATATGAATTCAGGAGGCTGTCCCGAAAGTGTTAGGCATGTAAACGCTGTTATTGCAAGTAGTATTTATAAGGTTTTTAAAACTGCTGCCTTTTAATATATGCAAGGTATCAAAACACTTGATTTGTTTAGTAGGTGCATTATTTGTCAAGAAAAACTTTTGAAATTAATTACTTTTTAACCTGGATCTGTAACTTTTTCTGCTTTCTTCTGATACAGTCCTCACTGCGGTGTGACTAAAACACTGAGGGAGGCTGATGGCATTTTCACTGGAAGCTAATAATGAGAGAGGAGCTAAATAAAATTCTGAGCAGTCCATAAACAGCATTTTTGTACCTTACTGCTAAGTATTGTATGATGAATAACTTCAGTGAGAAAGCACATCAGGAATCATGAAATCACTGACCTCAATTTCTGCAGTTTTGACATGCTGCAGTCATTAAAACTTTGCCATCAGTTGTTGGGGAGATTCAGTTTTGTCCTTCTGTTTGTCAACAGAAGACTGTTAAACACTGCAGCAGTTGTCTTTAAAGTTCTTCTGCGTTGTTCTGTGTAGGTTGTTATATAGTATACATTTTATTTTAATTTTGCTGAGGCACACTTCATGTGGCTTAAAAATATTTCATGTAGTAGGAAAGATTGGAATATTTTATGCTTTTAGTTAAGATGCTCTTGAACACTTAAGGGTCTTATGTTTATATTCTTCTGCTTCTTTATATCTAGATTTGATAAAAGATGATGCTGTCTTGCTGAAAGCAATTGCTCTAATGCCTTTATCAGCCTGTTAATATTGCTGTAGAACTTGTTTGCAAAATATTTTTTTCTAATAGCTCTTAACATGAGTAGCTAGCACCGGCCTCTGCTGTTAGAGCAGTAAATGCTCTACCCTAATTCTCCTGTTTCCTAAGAAGAAAAGGACTCTACATCTGTTAGCAACTATGTTTGAAGATACCTTGACTCTGAAACTGCTTTGATGTCAAGCATTCACCCATTCATGGGCTATCCCTTGAAATTTCCATGGATGTGGGTGATCTGTTAGCACATTGATGGCGTAGACTGGGGCATCCATGTTTTACAGCTAAAATGTCCTTAATGTCACATTTTTGCATGCTGCATTAAGATCCCTTATTCATTGCCTGCAGGGAAATAAATGAATTTAGTCAAGATTTAGGGCCAATGATCTGCTGCTGAACATACACCATTTGTAATAGCACAGCCTGTGATTTTAAATGTGCTCTGCGGTGTTTTTTGTTAACTTGCGTTCTTGAATATGCTCAATATCTTTTATACTACTTTTTGAAGTTGCCAGTCCCATGTGATTACCCATCCTTTAAATCTCGGTGCAGAATGATATATTCAATTACTTCTCCTGTTTCTTCAGCAGAATTTCTTTAATCAAATTCAACCTTGTCATGTTAATACAT